AATAACCCCCCCACACCTCCCTTATTACCTGTAGGATGGAACCAAGTTAAAACAGTACCCTAACCCACCACGAACTCCTTTATTACCTGTAGGATGAACCCAGAGATAACATTACCCTCACTCCCACCACCACTCCTTTTTTTTAATTAACCTGTAGGCTGGAACCCAAGTTAAACAGTTAACCCTAACCACCCACAGACCCTCCTTATTAACCTGTAGGAGGGGAACCACCCAGATTTAAACTGTAACCCTAACCCCCCCCCCTCCTTTTAACCTTTCGGATGGCACCAGAGATAACAGTTAACCCTAACCCACCCACAGACCCTTATACCCTGTATGATGGAACCCAGAGTTACAACAGTTAACCCAACCCCACCCACCCACTCCTTATTAACCTGTAGGATGGAACCCAGAAAGATAAACAGTTACCCTAACCACCCACAGACTCCTTATTAACCCTGTAGGAATGGGAACCCAGAAGTTAAAAAACAGTTAACCTCACCCACCCAACACCTCCTATTAACCTTGTGGATGGACCCGAGTAAACAGTTAACCCTAACCCTAACCCCCCACAGACTCCTTATTCACTGTAGGATGGGCACCCAGAGATAAAACAGTTAACCCTACCCCAACCCCCACACTCCTTATTAACCGTAGGATGGAACCAGAGTTAAAACAGTTTTCACCCTAACCCCACCACACACTCCTTATTACACTGTATATGGAACCCAGAGTAAAACAGTTAACCCTAACCCCACCCACAACACGTCCTATTAACCTGTAAATGGAACCCAGAGTTAAACAGTTCACCCTAACCCACCCACACACTCTTCTTAACCGTTAGGATGGAACCCAAGTACAACGGATTACCTAACCCCCCCACAGCACTCCTTATTAACCTGTAGGAATGGAACCCAGGTTAACAGTTAACCTAGACCCACCCACCACCCTTATTACCTGTAGGCCTGGAACCCACGTTACAACATTAACCCTAACCCACCCACACCCTCCTTATTACCTGTAGGATGGAACCCAGAGTTAAAACGTTACCTAACCCACCCACCACTCCTTAATTAACCTGTAGGATGGAACCCAGAATAAAAACAGTAAACCTAACCCACCACCCCCCCTTATTACCCTGTAGATGGAACCCATAAGATAAAACAGTTAACCCTAACCCACCCACACACTCTTATTACCTGTAGGTGGAACCCGAGATAAAACAGTTTAACCCTAACCCACCCCACACACTGCCTGCTCCTTATTAACCTGTAGGAGGGAACCCAGAGATAAAACAGTTAACCCTACACCCACCCACACCATCCTTATTAACCTGTAAGGATGGAACCCAGAGTTAAAAAGTTAACCCTAACCCCCCCCACACTCCTTATATAACCTTATGATGGAAACCAGAGTTTAAAACAGTTTAACCCTACACCCCCCACACACTCCTTATTTCACCGTGTAAGGATGGAACCCCAGAGGTAAAACATTAACCCTAAACCCCCCACACACCCTTATTAACCTGTAGGATGGAACCCAGAGTAAACAGTTAACCCTACCCACCCACACCCTCTTATTAACCTGTAGGATGGAACCAGAGATAAAACAGTTACCGAACCCCCCCCCACCTCCTTAATTACCTGTAGGATGGAACCCGAGATTAAAACAGTTACCCTACCCACCCACACACTCCGTACTTAACCTGTATGATGGAACCCCGGTTAAAACAGTTACCCTAACCCACCCACACACACTCCGTATTACCTTTAGATGGACCCAGAGTTAAAACAGTTAAAACCCTACCCACCCACAACACCTCTCACACACTTCCTTCATTTATAATACAGTGGAAAAACAAAATGAGTTTCCTAGTTTCCATAGTGAGTTCCCCGTTCCATAGTGAGTTCCCATAGTGAGTTCCAGTTAGTTTTCCATAGTGATTCCATAGTTTCCCTAGTTATTCGATAGTTCCACAGTGAGTTCCAGTTCCCTAGGTAGTTCCCATAGTTCCTTGTGTAACACAGAACACAACGGAATATAATCCCTCTATTATATTCCCGTAGTTTTTCCTGACATTTCTTTATAGGCTTTATCCTTCTGGTTAATCTTTCCTTCTCCTCTAGTGCCACCGGATCATCTTTCCCTTAATCCTCTAGGTGCACCTGGTCTCTTGCCCTTATCCTCTAGGTGCAACCTGGGTCATCTTTTCCCTTATCCCCTAGGTGCACCTGGTCATCTTTCCCTTATCCTCTAGGTGCACTGGTCATCTTTCCTTATCCTCTAGGTGCACCTGGTCAATCTTTCCCTTATCCTCTAGGTGCACCTGGTCATCTTTCCCTTATCCTCTAGGTGCACCTGGTCATCTTTCCCTTATCCTCTAGGTGCACCTGGTTATTTGTCCTTTCTTCTCTCGTTGGTGTCTGATTCAGGGCCGGTGTTCGTCCTCCTGCTGATTTTGGTGCAAACTATAGCCCTCTCTCCCGCAGTCTCCTGTCCTGTCTTCTCAGTCTCCTCAGGGCTCCTGTCCTGTCTCCTCATTCCTCCTCTCCTGTCTTCCTCAGTCTCCTCTCCTCTCTCTCCGCAGTCTCCTATCCTGTCTTCTCAGTCTCCTCTCCTCTCTCTCCTCAGTCTCCTGTCCTGTCTCCTCAGTCTCCTCTCCTCTCTCTCCGCAGTCTCCTATCCTGTCTTCTCAGTCTCCTCTCCTCTCTCTCCGCAGTCTCCTGTCCTCTCTCTCCGCAGTCTCCTGTCCTGTCTCCTGTCCGGTCTCCGCAGTCTCCTGTCCTGTCTTCTCAGTCTCCTGTCCTGTCTCCGCAGTCTCCTGTCCGGTCTCCGCAGTCTCCTGTCCTGTCTCCTGTCCGGTCTCCGCAGTCTCCTGTCCTGTCACCGCAGTCTCCTGTCCTGTCTCCGCAGTCTCCTGTCCTGTCTCCTGTCCGGTCTCCGCAGTCTCCTGTCCTGTCACCGCAGTCTCCTGTCCTGTCTCCGCAGTCTCCTGTCCTGTCTTCTCAGTCGCCTGTCCTCTCTGTCTCCTGTCCTCAGACTCCTCAGTCTCCTGTCCTCTGTCCTGTCCTCGCTCCTCAGCCTCCTGTCCTCTCTCCTCAGCCTCCTGTCCTCTCCCCTCAGCCTCCTGTCCCGTCTCCTCAGCCTCCTGTCCTGTCCTCTCTCCTCAGCCTCCTGTCCTGTCCTCTGTCCTCAGCCTCCTGTCCTCTCTCCTCAGCCTCCTGTCCTCAGCCTCCTGTCCTCAGCCTCCTGTCCTCAGCCTCCTGTCCTCAGCCTCCTGTCCTGTCCTCTGTCCTCAGCCTCCTGTCCTCTCTCCTCAGCCTCCTGTCCTCAGTCTCCTGTCCTCAGCCTCCTGTCCTCAGCCTCCTGTCCTCAGCCTCCTGTCCTCAGCCTCCTGTCCTCAGCCTCCTGTCCTCAGCCTCCTGTCCTCAGCCTCCTGTCCTCAGCCTCCTGTCCTCAGCCTCCTGTCCTCAGTCTCCTGTCCTCTGTCCTCTCTTGGTCATTAGCCTCCTCTCTCTCTGCTTCCTAAGCCCTGTCCTGTCCTGTCCTCTTTGCTCATCAGTCACCCAGATTGTCGCACCTTGATGACCCTAAAGCTGAGGTATCGTCTGTTGAGCATGATGACCTACTAACCTTGATGACCCTAAAGCTGAGGTATCGTCTGTTGAGCATGATGACCTACTAACCTTGATGACCCTAAAGCTGAGGTATCGTCTGTTGAGCATGATGACCTCCTAACCTTGATGACCCTAAAGCTGAGGTATCGTCTGTTGAGCATGATGACCTACTAACCTTGATGACCCTAAAGCTGTGGTATCGTCTGTTGAGCATGATGACCTACTAACCTTGATGACCCTAAAGCTGAGGTATCGTCTGTTGAGCATGATGACCTACTAACCTTGATGACCCTAAAGCTGAGGTATCGTCTGTTGAGCATGATACCTCCTAACCTTGATGACCCTAAAGCTGAGGTATCGTCTGTTGAGCATGATGACCTACTAACCTTGATGAACCCTAAAACTGAGGTATCGTCTGTTGAGCATGATGACCTACTAACCTTGATGACCCTAAAGCTGAGGTATCGTCTGTTGAGCATGATGACCTACTAACCTTGATGACCCTAAAGCTGAGGTATCGTCTGTTGAGCATGATGACCTCCTAACCTTGATGACCCTAAAGCTGAGGTATCGTCTGTTGAGCATGATGACCTACTAACCTTGATGACCCTAAAGCTGAGGTATCGTCTGTTGAGCATGATGACCTTGTACTCGTTGGTTCCCTCGTCCAGGACGTGGCGCAGGGTGAGTAGTGAGGGCGAGTTAGAGAGCACGGCGTTAGTTCCACAGTGAGTTCCATAGTTCCCTAGTTAGTTCCATAGTTCCATTGTGTAACACGGAATATAATCCACTCTTATTATATTCACCGTTAGTTTTTCCTGACATTTCTTAGGCTTTATCCTTCTGGTTATCTTTCCCTTATCCTCTAGGTGCACCTGGTCATCTTTCCCTTATCCTCTAGGTGCACCTGGTCATCTTTCCCTTATCCTCTAGGTGCACCTGGTCATCTTTCCCTTATCCTCTAGGTGCACCTGGTCATCTTTCCCTTATCCTCTAGGTGCACCTGGTCATCTTTCCCTTATCCTCTAGGTGCACCTGGTCATCTTTCCCTTATCCTCTAGGTGCACCTGGTCATCTTTCCCTTATCCTCTAGGTGCACCTGGTCATCTTTCCCTTATCCTCTAGGTGCACCTGGTTATTTGTCCTTTCTTCTCTCGTTGGTGTCTGATTCAGGGCCGGTGTTCGTCCTCCTGCTGATTTTGGTGCAAACTAGCCCTCTCTCCGCAGTCTCCTGTCCTGTCTTCTCAGTCTCCTCAGGCTCCTGTCCTGTCTCCTCAGTCTCCTCTCCTGTCTTCTCAGTCTCCTCTCCTCTCTCTCCGCAGTCTCCTATCCTGTCTTCTCAGTCTCCTCTCCTCTCTCTCCTCAGTCTCCTGTCCTGTCTCCTCAGTCTCCTCTCCTCTCTCTCCGCAGTCTCCTATCCTGTCTTCTCAGTCTCCTCTCCCCCTCTCTCCGCATTCTCCTGTCCTCTCTCTCCGCAGTCTCCTGTCCTGTCTCCTGTCCGGTCTCCGCAGTCTCCTGTCCTGTCTTCTCAGTCTCCTGTCCTGTCTCCGCAGTCTCCTGTCCTGTCTCCTGTCCGGTCTCCGCAGTCTCCTGTCCTGTCACCGCAGTCTCCTGTCCTGTCTCCGCAGTCTCCTGTCCTGTCTCCTGTCCGGTCTCCGCAGTCTCCTGTCCTGTCACCGCAGTCTCCTGTCCTGTCTCCGCAGTCTCCTGTCCTGTCTTCTCAGTCGCCTGTCCTCTCTGTCTCCTGTCCTCAGACTCCTCAGTCTCCTGTCCTCTGTCCTGTCCATCGCTCCTCAGCCTCCTGTCCTCTCTCCCAGCCTCCTGTCCTCTCCCCTCAGCCTCCTGTCCCCGTCTCCTCAGCCTCCTGTCCTGTCCTCTCTCCTCAGCCTCCTGTCCTGTCCTCTCTCCTCAGCCTCCTGTCCTGTCCTCTGTCCTCAGCCTCCTGTCCTCTCTCCTCCGCCTCCTGTCCTCAGCCTCCTGTCCTCAGCCTCCTGTCCTCAGTCCGTCCTCAGCCTCCTGTCCTGTCCTCCCGTCCTTTCCCGCCTCCCGTCCTGTCCCTGTCCTCAGCCTCCTCCTCTCCCCTCCCGTCCTCAGCCTCCTGTCCTCAGCCTCCTGTCCTCAGCCTCCTGTCCTCAGCCTCCTGTCCTCAGCCTCCTGTCCTCAGCCTCCTGTCCTCAGCCTCCTGTCCTCTGTCCTCTCTTGGTCATTAGCCTCCTCTCTCTCTGCTTCCTAAGCCCTGTCCTGTCCTGTCCTCTTTGCTCATCAGTCACCCAGATTGTCGCACCTTGAGACCCTAAAGCTGAGGTATCGTCTGTTGAGCATGATGACCTACTAACCTTGATGACCCTAAGCTGAGGTATCGTCTGTTGAGCATGATGACCCTACTAACCTTGATGACCCTAAAGCTGAGGTATCGTCTTGTTGAGCATGATGACCTCCTAACCTTGATGACCCTAAAGCTGATGGTATCGTCTGTTGAGCATGATGACCTACTAACCTTGATGACCCTAAAGCTGAGGTATCGTCTGTTGAGCATGATGACCTAACTAACCTTGATGACCCTAAGCTGAGGTATCGTCTGTTGAGCATGATGACCTACTAACCTTGATGCCCCTAAAGCTGAGGTATCGCTGTTTGAGCATGATGACCTCCTAACCTTGATGACCCCTAAGCTGATGGTATCGTCTGTTGATCATGATGCCTCTAACCCTAACCATTGATGGACCCTAAAGCCTGAGGTATCGTCTGTTGAGCATGATGACCTACTAACCTTGATGACCCTAAAGCTGATGGTATCGTCTGTTGAGAATGAGACATACTAACCTTGATGACCCTAAAGCTGGAGGTATCGTCTGTTGAGCATGATGACCTACTAACCTTGATGACCCTAAAGCGAGGTATCGTCTGTTGAGCATGATGACCTACTAACCTTGATGACCCTAAAACGGAGATATCGTCTGTTGAGCATGATGACCTACTAACCTTGATGACCCTAAAGCTGAGGTATCGTCTGTTGAGCATGATGACCTACTAACCTTGATGACCCTAAAACTGAGGTATCGTCTGTTGAGCATGATGACCTTGTACTCGTTGGTTCCCTCGTCCAGGACGTGGCGCAGGGTGAGTAGTGAGGGCGAGTTGGAGAGCACGGCGTTGCGCCAGGCCGGGTCACCCTCGTGGGCGATCACCAGGTTCTGCTGGTGGGAAGAGATCGCCTCGAACAGAACCACAGGCTCGTCATACTCATCTGGGGACGTGAAGTGGTCCTGGGACAGAGAGAAAAGGAGATCAGTATTTCTTTATTCTTTATAAAACAGTACAGAGGTAGAATAAAGGCGGAGATTTTCCTCATTACCCTGTGGTTGCTGGCCTGCTTCTCTAACTGTGAGGCTACTGCTACCCCTAGAGCAATGAAGACTTGACGCGGAGAAGGTTTGCCGTCATGTAGCGCCTCACCTGGTGTAGTTTGAGTGACATGCGTATCCCAGGTAACGCTCACCTGGTGTAGTTTGAGTGACATGCGTATCCCAGGTAACGCTCACCTGGTGTAGTTTGAGTGACATGCGTATCCCAGGTAACGCTCACCTGGTGTAGTTTGAGTGACATGCGATCCCAGGTAACTCTCACCTGTGTAGTTTGAGTGACATGCGTATCCCAGGTAACCTCACCTGGTGTAGTTTGAGTGACATGCGTATCCCAGGTAACGCTCACCTGGTGTAGTTTGAGTGACATGCGTATCCCAGGTAACGCTCACCTGGTGTAGTTTGAGTGACATGCGTATCCCAGGTAACTCTCACCTGGTGTAGTTTGAGTGACATGCGTATCCCAGGTAACGCTCACCTGGTGTAGTTTGAGTGACATGCGTATCCCAGGTAACTCTCACCTGGTGTAGTTTGAGTGACATGCGTATCCCAGGTAACTCTCACCTGGTGTAGTTTGAGTGACATGCGTATCCCAGGTAACTCTCACCTGGGGTAGTTTGAGTGACATGCGTATCCCAGACTCTCACCTGGTGTAGTTTGAGTGACATGCGTATCCCAGGTAACGCTCACCTGGTGTAGTTTGAGTGACATGCGTATCCCAGGTAACGCTCACCTGGTGTAGTTTGAGTGACATGCGGATCCCAGGTAACGCTCACCTGGTGTAGTTTGAGTGACATGCGTATCCCAGGTAACTCTCACCTGGTGTAGTTTGAGTGACATGCGGATCCCAGGTAACTCTCACCTGGTGTAGTTTGAGTGACATGCGTATCCCAGGTAACTCTCACCTGGTGTAGTTTGAGTGACATGCGGATCCCAGGTAACTCTCACCTGGTGTAGTTTGAGTGACATGCGGATCCCAGGTAACTCTCACCTGGTGTAGTTTGAGTGACATGCGTATCCCAGGTAACTCTCACCTGGTGTAGTTTGAGTGACATGCGTATCCCAGGTAACTCTCACCTGGTGTAGTTTGAGTGACCATGCGTATCCCAGGTAACTCCTCACCTTGGTGTAGTTTGAGTGACATGCGATCCCAGGTAACGCTCACCCTGGTGTAGTTTGAGTGACATGCGTATCCCAGGTACTCTCACCTGGTGTAGTTTGATGACATCGTATCCCAGGCACACACCTTCCTCAGGATTCCCATGTCGGCAAAGATCCACTCATCTCTCACCGAGGAGATTCGGAAGTCTCCCTTGAACAGCGCATGGAGTCCATACAGGAAAGACTCCAGGTTACTGGACATGTGGTGGGAGAGAGAGAGGAAAAGAGACAGGAAGGAGGAAAAATATCACAACAACACCAAATCACAAAACAGTAAATCAGGATCAGGACGACAGCCTGGGGTTTTGATACCAGGTACTCTCACCTGGTGTAGTTGAAAATTGTGCCTGACGGATCCGGTACTCTCCTGTGGTCTTGGGCCATGTGGACAGTGGAATCTCATGGTTGTTGTTCTGTGGACAGGTGTCTCCCTTTATTACAGTACATGCGGATTAGGACTCTCCCTTTAAGTTAGTGTGCTCCTAATCTCACCTCGTTACGTTTAGAATGACACTGGGAGCCAGGTAACTCTCTTCTGATTGAGAGGGGGTCCAAATCTACCTTATTTCCCAGTGAAATGCGAAACTCAATTGTACATTTGTGACATGCGTATGTTTCCCCGGATTTTTTTGATGCGTATCCCAGTAACTCTCACCTGTTAAGTAAACGTATCCAGTCAAACTTATCAGGGCCTGTCAAGTCCATCATTGCTCCAGTGGAGCGAAGTTTCCAAACAGCGCATGGATCCCAAAGACTCCTACTGGACTGTGGTTGAAGAAAAAATGTTATACAGTAACAAACTGAGATTAGGGAGCACTCCCTTTAAGAGTGTGCTCCTAATCTCAGCTCGTTACCTGTATAAAAAGACACCTGGAGCCAAAATCTTTCTGATTGAGAGGGGTCAAATACTTATTTCCCTCATTAAAATGCAAATCAATTTATAACATTTGTGACATGCGTTTTTCTGGATTTTTTTGTTGTTATTCTGTCTCTCACTGTTCAAATAAACCTACCATTCAAATTATAGACTGATCATGTGTCTTTGTCAGTGGGCAAACGTACAAAATCAGCAGGGGATCAAATACTTTTTTCCCTCACTGTAGTTACCCAAAAAGTGTTAAACAAATCAAAATATATTTAATATTTGAGATTCTTCAAATAGCCACCCTTTGCTTTGATGACAGCTTTGCACACTCTTGGCATTCTCTCAACCACCTTCATGAGGTAGTCACCTGGAATGCATTTCAATTAACAGGTGTGCCTTCTTAAAAGTTAATTTGTGGAATTTCTTCCCTTCTTAATGCGTTTGAGCCAATCAGCTGTGTTGTGACAAGGTAGGGGGGGTATACAGAAGATAGCCCTATTTGGTAAAAGACCAAGTCCATATTATGGCAAGAACAGCTCAAATAAGCAAAGAGAAACAACAGTCCATCATTACTTTAAGACATGAAGGTCAGTCAATACAAAACATTTCAAGAACTTTGAAAGTTTCTTCAAGGGCAGTCGCAAAAACCATCAAGCGCTATGATGAAACTGGCTCTCATGAGGACCGCCACAGGAAAGGAAGACCCAGAGATACCTCTGCTGCAGAGGACACATTCATTAGAGTTACCAGGCTCAAAAATTGCAGCCCAAATAAATGCTTCAGAGAGTTCAAGTAACAGACACATCTCAACATCAACTGTTCAGAGGAGACTGTGTGAATTAGGTCTTCATGGTCGAATTGTTGCAAAGAAACACCTACTAAAGGACACCAAGAAAGACGAGCAATGGACATTAGACCGGTGGAAATGTGTCCTTTGGTCTGTAGTCCAAATTTTAGATTTTTGGTTCCAACCGCTGTGTCTTTGTGAGACGCAGTGTGGGGTGAATGGATGATCTCCACATGTGTATTTCCCACCGTAAAGCATGGAGGAGGAGGTTTAATGGTGTGGGGGTGCTTTGCTGGTGACAGAGTGAAGGAAAAGCAGCCAACAAGTGCTCAGCATATGTGGGAACTCCTTCAAGACTGTTGGAAAAGCATTCCAGGTGACTACCTCATGAAGCTGGTTGAGAGAATGCTAAGAGTGTGCAAAGCTGTCATCAAGGCAAAGGGTGGCTATTTGAAGAATCTCAAATATAAAATATATTTTGATTTGTTTAACACTTTTTTGGTTACTACATGATTCCATATGTGTTCTTTTTTCGTTTTGACGTCTTCACTATTATTCAACAATGTAGAAAATAGTAAAAAATAAAGAAAAACCCTTGAATGAGTAGGTGTGTCCAAAACTTTTGACCGGTAGTGTACAGTCCAGTTTGTGATTGATCAGATAGATACTGTAGCTAGTGACAGTCCTACCTAGACATGTGGTGTGATGATGACCCTAGGGCTCTCCTGCCCAGCACACACAGGCCAAAGCACAGCAACACCAGGGAAGAGTCCTTCTCACTGTCCAGAGGCTCCAGAGGAGAGGGAAAAGTAGAAGTAGATATATTTAGATTGGAATAAAAGTCATGAACAAACCAACAGAATAGTGGTAGCTGTCTCACGGTTTGTGTTATTTTCAGACAAAGACCAATTCTCCCCAATTTCGTGATGTCCAAATTGGTAGTTACAGTCTTGTCCCATCGCTGCAACTCCCGTACGGACTCGGGAGAGGCGAAGGTCGAGAGCCATGCGTCCTCCGAAACACGACCCTACCAAGCCGCACTGCTTCTTGACACAGTGCTCGCTTAACCCGGAAGGAAGCCGCACCAATGTGTCGGAGGAAACGCCGTAGGGCTGGCGACCGTGTCAGCGTGCAGGCGCCCGGGCCCGCCACAGGAGTCGCTAGAGCGCGATGGGACAAGGACATCCCGGCCCGGCCAAACCCTTCCCTAACCCGGACGACGCTGGGCCAATTGTGCGCCGCCTCATGGGTCTCCCAGTCACGGCCGGACTGCAACACAGCCCGGGATCGAACCCGGATCTGTGGTGACGCCTCCAGCACTGCAGTGCTTGGGAGGCCCTCCCATGGCTCAATCTCTAATAGTCTTTCTGTGATTCCTCACATACTGTCTACCTCCTCCCCTACTCAACCATATCACAGGAGGTCCTCCCAAGGTCCATCCCCTCGGATCATCCACTCCAATGTGTTTTGAGAATGAGGCGAGGAATTGAGAAAAGATACATTGCGAAAGAGCCCATGTTCCTACCTTGGCCTTGAAAGGACTTATTTACATTAAATCAGACATGATTCTTAGTCTGGTCCCAGATCTGTTCGTGGTGTTTTGCCAATTCCTATGGTTGCCATCATGCCTAACAATGACCATTGGAGTAGGCAAGACAACACAAACAGACCTGACCTGGGACTCAGGCTACATGCTACATGCTTCTACCTTGGCCCTTCGGGAGTTGCAGTACTGGATCCAGCCCAGGTAGACCTGGCAGAAGGAGTCCCTGGAGATACCAGCCAGGCGGTGGTCGTAGTCTTGGTCTATGTTGGGGTTAAAGGTCGGGTCCAGGTCCACGTAGTTCCTCTCTCCACAGGCCTTCAGACCCTCCTTCATCGTCTCATTGGCCAGCCACTCCTCCAGTTTGGTTGAGGCGATCACATAGTATATGATCCCCTGGAGAGAGGAAGTAAGTAGAGAAGACAAGTTGATCTTTACTAGGCGACAGAGATGTTTCCTGGACCACAGAGATGTTTCCTGGACCACAGAGATCTTTACTGGACCACAGATATCTTCACTGGACCACAGAGATCTTTACAGGACCACAGAGATCTTTACTGGACCACATATCTCTCTACAGGGCCACAGAGATCTTTACTGGACCACAGATCTCTCTACAGGGCCACAGAGATCTTTACAGGACCACATAGATCTTTACTGGACCACAGATCTCTCTACAGGACCACATAGATCTTTACTGGACCACAGATCTCTCTACAGGACCACAGAGATCTTTACTGGACCACATAGATATTTACTGAACCACATAGATCTTTACAGGACCACATAGATCTTTACTGGACCACAGATATCTTTACTGGACCACAGATATCTTTACAGGACCACAGAGATCTTTACTGGACCACAGATCTCTCTACAGGACCACAGAGATCTTTACTGGACCACATATCTCTCTACAGGACCACAGAGATCTTTACTGGACCACATAGATCTTTACTGGACCACAGAGATCTTTACTGGACCACAGATCTCTCTACAGGACCACAGAGATCTTTACAGGACCACAGAGATCTTTACTGGACCACAGATCTCTCTACAGGACCACAGAGATCTTTACTGAACCACATAGATGTTTCCTGGACCACAGAGATCTTTACAGGACCACATAGATCTTTACAGGACCACAGAGATCTTTACAGGACCACAGAGATGTTTACCTGGACCACAGAGATCTTTACTGAACCACAGAGACGGCAGATAAAGAAAACACGAGTAGGATGCAACAGACTTAGAACATGGACACAACCAGGAAAACAAAAACAAACCACCTGGAGAAAAACTGATGGATGACCTGGCCAAGATGAACCACTCTTGGAATGAGGCACAACATGTTGCCAAGAACAAGAAGAGGTTCCCAAATGTCCCAAAGGAGATGAAGTAATTGGAACATCATTTTATTCTGATTGATGATTTTAAATCCCAAATTGGAGGGCTGCTGACCACAGATTGCACATGTTTTTAAACCAGTTTTTAACTTCCATTCATTTGTATGTGCTGTTCTGTCTCGCGTAACTATGTGGTGCTTTCTTGACCAGGGCTCACTTAAAAAAGAGATGTCACTCTCAAAATGTGACTTCTCTGGTTAAATACATTTTAAAAAAGTTAGTAGCTAGACAAGCACGGTCACTCACCTTGACGTAGTAGGTGGTGAGGATACGTCTGAGGTCGAACACCTGGAGCATGGAGGCCGCGCTGTTGTCCGTGATGCTGTAGCCCTCCAGGACGTACTTGGTGACCAGCACCTCCCAGGCCAGCCAGCGCTGTCCGAAGGCCGCGTTGAAGGACAGGACATGGGGCAGGTGGCCTGGCTCACAGCAGCAGCAGCCCTCATCCTCCTCCACCCCCTCCGTAATGGCCTCCACCTCCCTCTGCTGGCAGTACGTACCTGGGGGGGGAGACGGGACGGCTTCATAAACATGCTATAATGCTTCATAAACACCCTGACACTACAGCCCCTAACTCCCGCTGCTGGCAGTACATACCGGGGGGGGGGGAGGAGGGGGGGATAATGTTATAAACAGTCTATAAGACTTCATAAACAGTCTATAAGAGTTAAACTATGACTGAATTTTTATAATTGACTGATGTCAATGGGAGACTTGTGCATAAACGGTGGTGATAAGGGCAGATCTTAACCCCCTGGAGTTGGTTGATGCACCGGTGCGTAAATCTATATTACATCAAATAAAAAAAATCCCCATCAAATTCCGTCAGTTTAAGCTAGAGACGTTTTTTTTGTTGTTGTTTATTTTGCATCGGATTTTGCAATCCACCGCATCCAACAGTGTCCGCGGATGAGTCTCAATCCACCGCATCCAACAGTGTCCGCGGATGAGTCTCAATCCACCGCATCCAACAGTGTCTGCGGATGAGTCTCAATCCACCGCATCCAACAGTGTCTGCGGATGAGTCTCAATCCACCGCATCCAACAGTGTCCACATCTGCGGTGAAAGGTGACAGAGCTAAAGCGGTGTTTTTCAGACCATGAGACATCCCGAAAATCATTATTCTCAAACGTGCAACGGTTGGACATACAACTAATGGGACCCCACTGTGGAAAGGGGAGATTCGCACGAACACGGTGGTGTTCTCCGGTTTGCTCTACGACCCCCCACAAGTGTCACGGGACTCGTCTGAAGGTACAGATTTTAAAAAAAAACTAATGGAAGTATGAAGGTAGTTTTGTGCCTACCCAGAAAAAGGGTTTAAATATGTGATATAAAATTAAAATGTTTTTTTATATCTCCTAGATATAGTACAGACGCTTTATGTTTTGACTGTCCTTTATTAATGTGTTATTCAATGTGTTTCTATGGGCTTTAGTAGTAAAGGCCAAAAGAAATATTTTCTCAAATCATTTTTTATATATATATATTTTCTTATACCTAAAGGGGTCCTAAAATTCTAAATCAAATCGCTAAATGAGCCATAGTACGACCATCTTAAAACAATTCCATTAGTCGGCTTAGAACCCCCTTTCCCCCTTTCCCCCTTCCCCTTCCCCTTTCCCCTTTCCCTTTTTCACTTCCCTTTCCCCCCTTCCCCCTTCCCCCTTTCCCCCAACGTCTTAGACATTTTAGGCCCCAATTCCACAAGGCTTCTTCAAGACCTGGGGTGGTGGTCTCAAATGGCACCCTATTCCCTATATAGTGCACTACTTTTGACCAGAGCCTGAAGTAGTGCACTATAAAGTAAATACCCACTATATATGGAATAGGGTCCCATTTGGGACTCAACCCTGAACACTTCATATACACACTATGCTACAAGGCCTAATTTGAGAGTCCCTCCTCTTCCCGACCTCTGAACTCCAGTCCTCGGAGCTGGAAGGTGACCAGTCCGTTGCCGATCTCCACCAGGTGAACCAGGGCGTTGAGGTAGTCGGAAGCCAGGATGAAGCAGTCCCCTGTCCCATAGTTGCCCCAGCGGCCCAGCAGCAGATCCCCACACAGCCTGTGCTGCAGGGAGCGCGTCAGGTGCTCATAGAAGATAGAGTTCAGGTTGTTGTCATCAGAACCTGGAGGAGGAAGGGAGGAAGGGAGGGAGGAAGGAAGGAAGGAGGGAGGGAGGGAGGGAAGGAGGGAGGGAGGGGGAGGGAGGGAGGGAGGGAGGGAGGGAGGAATTAAGCTCAACTACAAAGGGACATTTTCCTGAATGAAAATTGTGTGACTTTCTTCAGCTGGTCCAAAGTATGTTTATGGTAGTCGAATAAGTTTAGTTGAATGGTGAGAGGCTAGCGTTGAAAACCTGAAGCTACTGGAAGTAGCACAAGTCATTATATAGGATTTACTACTGCCTCTTTCCAACCAAGGTACATGAACCGTGTACGCAAGCTGAAGGTGAGAAGAACGTTTGGTAATACGGCTAGATCAGAGCATTCTAGTCGATCAAATTGGACTGTGAGTTAAACCGTAGCTACAGATAAAGACCTCCACCTGGGGTTCTGTCCAGCTGAGACGCCAGTCTGGTGTTGGAGTGATCCACTCTCTTAGTGCTGCAATAGACAACAGATCAGGCAAGAATCACACACAGACAAACAAAAATGGACCAACAGGAGTCAAATCAATACACTGATTCTAATTTTTTAACTCTTCTCCCGGAGTGTACACTAGCACTCTCCCCTTCGTGGAACCATGAGAGGCAGTGTGCAAGGGTACACTTTGGGAGGAGGGTAAAGAGTCAGAACACAGGGTACACTTTGGGAGGAGGGTAAAGAGTCAGAACACAGGGTACACTTTGGGAGGAGGGTAAAGAGTCAGAACACAGGGTACACTTTGGGAGGAGGGTAAAGAGTCAGAACACAGGGTACACTTTGGGAGGAGGGTAAAGAGTCAGAACACAGGGTACACTTTGGGAGGAGGGTAAAGAATCAGAACACAGGGTACACTTTGGGAGGAGGGTAAAGAGTCAGAACACAGGGTACACTTTGGGAGGAGGGTAAAGAGTCAGAACACAGGGTACACTTTGGGAGGAGGGTAAAGAATCAGAACACGGCCATAGCAGTTTCAGAGAGCTCGTTACTTGTAGTCTCTCTCCCAGAACTTGACGGGTCTGACATAGGAGGTGATGAAGATGGCGCTGCCCAGGAAGGGGTTGAGCGGAGTAGAGAGGACTGCTGACACCACAGCCTGAACAAACAGCATGGCAGAGTCTGGGAGAGGGCTAAGGAGTCAAGGAGCTTTAGAAGAAACAGCACAAGACCTTTCATAAATCATAGAGACACCAAGTCCCCAAAATAATTGATGACATTATCCGGGTGAAAGCAGTCAAGGAAAGGGTTGGCTGTGTATCAAGTCCTTTAACATCTGACTGGGGTTTAACACGGACGTAGAGCTGATAACGGAGCCAAAGCTCTTTAACCATCTGCTGAGGTTGGACTGACACTAGTGATGTGGAGGTCTATGGTGAGCCCGGTGAATGAAGGATACGAGGCTGGGCGAAGGGCTGGGCGAAGGCGTGGAAGGCTGACCCCCAGGTGATCTGCCAGGGAGCGATGTAGGTGTAGACAAAACACAGCTTGTAGAACAGCTCCCACAGCTACAGGATGGGGGGGGGGGGGGGGGGGGGGGGAGGAGAGAGAGAGATGAGAGGAGAGAGAGAGAGAAGATGAGAGAGAGAGAGAGAGAGGAGAGAGAGAGAGAGAAGAGAGAGAGAACGAGAGAGACAGAGAGAGACATAGAGAGACAAAGATAGACAAAGAGAACAAAGACAGACAAGACGAGACAGATCAACACAGACAGAGACAGACAGAGACAGACAGACATAGCACGACAGAGACGAACAGACCAGACAGAGCAGAACAGACAGGACAGACAGACAGAGACAGACAGACACAGACAGACAGAGACGACAGACATACAGACAGAGACAGACAGACAGACACAGACAGACAGACAGACAGACAACAGATCCAACAGACAGAGACAGACAGAGACAGACAGACAAGACAGACAGAGACAGACAAGACAGACAGACAGACAGAACGACAGACAGAGAGACAGACAGAGAGACAGACAGACAGACAGACGACAGACAGACAGACAGACAGACAACAGACAAAGAGAGAGAGTGTTAAACTCATCTGAACTACCCAGACACTAGTTGGATGTTCTATACACTGAACAACCTGTATATCACATTACATAGCACAGGGCTGTGTGGCAGTAGGAGGAAAAAACACAACTAACTATTGAACTCTGGCACATTTTCTATTGCAAAACATTTAGTTACTGTGTGCCCTAATGAACAGGGCCCAGATGTCAGGGTAAAATGCTTTGTCACCTTGCTGAAGACGATGGACATGAGGAAGAGGTCCAGCAGCAGGGTCTCCGAGAGGTTGCGGTAGTCGAAGGTGAAGAAGAGGACGGTGAAGAGTACTGTGATGTACTGGTAGGTGGGGCTACTGTAGGAGGAACGAAGCAGCTTCAGACCTGCCACTGTTATCATCAACGCTCCAACCCTGGAGAGGAGAGGAGGGGGAGGAGAGAGAGGGGGGGGGGGGGGGGGGGAGAGAGAGAGAGGAGGGGGAGGAGAGAGAGGGGGGGGAGAGAGAGAGAGAGGGGGCGGGGTTGGGGGGAGATGAAAAGAGAGATAAGAATAGGATGTTATAAGACCAACCAAGGTACATGAAGACTCCTGCTTAACTAGTTGGTTAAGATGACACAAATACAAAATACAACAGGATAGATTACAGATTACCAGCTGATTGGAAACTGGGTGTAAACTGACCTCACTTCAACCACCTTTGCACACTGGGTTACCATGTGAGACACAGAACAGAGAGACAATCCACAGAGGAGAAAGAAACATGCAGAAGATATAAAGAAGACAGGCAGGGAGGGAGGAGAGGAGAGGAGAGGAGAGGAGAGGAGAGGAGAGAGAGAGAGAGAGAGAGAGAGAGAGGGAGAGAGAGGAGAGAGAGAGAGAGAGAGAGAGAGAGAGAGAGAGAGAGAGAGGAGAGAGAGAGAGAGAGAGAGAGAGAGAGGAGAGAGAGACAGACAGGGAGAGGAGAGGAGAGAGAGAGAGACAGACAGACAGAGAGAGATGGACGGACAGACAGAGGGACAGACAGTTAGATAGTTACTAGTAGGTAGAGGACTCACTCAGTGTCCAGTTTCCTGGGACTGGCCAGTTCCCTGGCGCTGCCACTCAGCTCGTTGAGGATGACCAGGGGATACAGAACATTCTTCTCCAAGAACAACAGCCACACATAGAGCCTCTCAAACCACATCACATGGGCCTCACCTACAAACAAAGGGTTCGTTACGTCAGTTAGCCGAGTGGGTACGTATGTTCTTATAACCATTACACTTCATATTTGTTTTATTGACACTTGGAAAATAACTTCCCACCACCTCCCGTGGGGTACTCAAATATCAATTTTAGTCATTGAGCAGACGCTCTTACCCTGAGAGACTTAGCCTACAAAAAATCAGTGGATTCAACTGAGATAAGGTAAAAGAACTTGGGGTGACTGACCCCTGAACTCAAACAGGTGGTACTCCTTGGTCTTGAGCAGTGGCTGTGAGAGGCAGTACCAGGGCAGCTGCTTGCGGACTTGTGGCAGCAGGTAGTGGGTTAGCAGGCCCACGGCCCCCAGTAGAGAGTAGAGCACGTAACTCAGGAACGGCTGGGGTGCACAGGGAAACGAGACAGAGTTTAACATACAAAGACGTCATACATGTGATAAGATTAAAAAAATTATATAGTGTCAACTTATTTTAAAATCAGGTCTTTCCTTATAAGGACTCAACTGCTCGACACACACACCAAGAGGTTGGAAACCAGGAGCATTGCAATGCCACCAAAGCAGTTTAGTGCCTTACTCAAGGGCACAACGGCAAAAAGAGATGGCGACCATTTTTTTTTTTTTACATTTTAGTCATTTAGCAGACGCTCTTATCCAGAGCGACTTACAGTTAGTGAGTGCATACAATATATATATATATATATATATATATATATATATATATATATATATATATGTATATATATATATACACAGGTAAAAGTCAGTAAATTAGAATATTTTGAAAAACTTGATTTATTTCAGTAATTGCATTCAAAAGGTGTAACTTGTACATTATATTTATTCATTGCACACAGACTGATGCATTCAAATGTTTATTTCATTTAATTTTGATGATTTGAAGTGGCAACAAATGAAAATCCAAAATTCCGTGTGTCACAAAATTAGAATATTGTGTAAGGGTTACATTTTGAAGACACCTGGTGCCACAAAAATAATCAGCTGATTAACTCAAAACACCTGCAAAGGGCTTTAAATGGTCTCTCAGTCCAGTTCTGAAGCCTACACAAACATGGGGAAGACTTCAGATTTGACAGCTGTCCAAAAGGCGACCATCGACACATTGCACAAGGAGGGAAAGACACAAAAGGTTATTGCAGAAGAGGCTGGCTGTTCTCAGAGCTCTGTGTCCAAACACATTAATAGAGAGGCAAAGGGAAGGAAAAACTGTGGTCAGAAAAAGTGTACAAGCGATAGGGATCACCGCGCCCTAGTCAAGATTGTGAAAAAAAAACCCATTCAAAAATGTGGGGGAGATTCACAAGGAGTGGACAGCTGCTGGAGTCAGGGCTTCAAGATCCACCACCAAGAGACGCTTGAAAGACATGGGTTTCAACTGCCGCATACCTCGTGTCAAGCCACTGTTGACCAAGAAACAGCGCGAAAAGCGTCTCACCTGGGCTAAGGAAAAAAAGAGCTGGACTGCTGCTGAGTGGTCTAAAGTCATGTTTTCTGACGAAAGCAAATTTTGCATTTCCTTTGGAAATCGAGGTCCCAGAGTCTGGAGGAAGACAGGAGAGGCACAGGATCCACGTTGCCTGAAGTCTAGTGTAAAGTTTCCACCATCAGTGATGGTTTGGGGTGCCATGTCATCTGCTGGTGTCGGTCCACTCTGTTTCCTGAGATCAAGGGTCAACGCAGCCGTCTACCAGCAAGTTTTAGAGCACTTCATGCTTCCTGCTGCTGACCTGCTCTATGGAGATGGAGATTTCAGGTTCCAACAGGACTTGGCGCCTGCACACAGCGCAAAATCTACCCGTGCCTGGTTTACGGACCATGGTATTTCTGTTCTAAATTGGCCAGCCAACTCCCCTGACCTTAGCCCCATAGAAAATCTGTGGGGTATTGTGAAAAGGAAGATGCAGAATGCCAGACCCAACAACGCAGAAGAGTTGAAGGCCACTATCAGAGCAACCTGGGCTCTCATAACACCTGAGCAGTGCCAGAAACTCATCGACTCCATGCCACGCCGCATTAATGCAGTAATTGAGGCAAAAGGAGCTCCAACCAAGTATTGAGTATTGTACATGCTCATATTTTTCATTTTCATACTTTTCAGTTGGCCAACATTTCTAAAAAATCCCTTTTTTGTATTAGCCTTAAGTAATATTCTAATTTTGTGACACACTGAATTTTGGATTTTCATTTGTTGCCACTTAAAATCATCAAAATTAAATGAAATAAACATTTGAATGCATCAGTCTGTGTGCAATGAATAAATATAATGTACAAGTTACACCTTTTGAATGCAATTACTGAAATAAATCAAGTTTTTCAAAATATTCTAATTTACTGACTTTTACCTGTATATATATATATATATACACATACACACAGTGGGGAAAAAAAGTATTTAGTCAGCCACCAATTGTGCAAGTTCTCCCACTTAAAAAGATGAGAGAGGCCTGTAATTTTCATCATAGGTACACGTCAACTATGACAGACAAAATGAGAATTTTTTTTCCAGAAAATCACATTGTAGGATTTTTAATGAATTTATTTGCAAATGATGGTGGAAAATAAGTATTTGGTCAATAACAAAAGTTTCTCAATACTTTTGTAATATACCCTTTGTTGGCAATGACACAGGTCAAACGTTTTCTGTAAGTCTTCACAAGGTTTTCACACACTGTTGCTGGTATTTTGGCCCATTCCTCCATGCAGATCTCCTCTAGAGCAGTGATGTTTTGGGGCTGTCGCTGGGCAACACGGACTTTCAACTCCCTCCAAAGATTTTCTATGGGGTTGAGATCTGGAGACTGGCTAGGCCACTCCAGGACCTTGAAATGCTTCTTACGAAGCCACTCCTTCGTTGCCCGGGCGGTTGTGTTTGGGATCATTGTCATGCTGAAAGACCCAGCCACGTTTCATCTTCAATGCCCTTGCTGATGGAAGGAGGTTTTCACTCAAAATCTCACGATACATGGCCCCATTCATTCTTTCCTTTACACGGATCAGTCGTCCTGGTCCCTTTGCAGAAAAACAGCCCCAAAAGCATGATGTTTCCACCCCCATGCTTCACAGTAGGTATGGTGTTCTTTGGATGCAACTCAGCATTCTTTGTCCTCCAAACACGACGAGTTGAGTTTTTACCAAAAAGTTCCATTTTGGTTTCATCTGACCATATGACATTCTCCCAATCCTCTTCTGGATCATCCAAATGCACTCTAGCAAACTTCAGACGGGCCTGGACATGTACTGGTTTAAGCAGGGGGACACGTCTGGCACTGCAGGATTTGAGTCCCTGGCGGCGTAGTGTGTTACTGATGGTAGGCTTTGTTACTTTGGTCCCAGCTCTCTGCAGGTCATTCACTAGGTCCCCCCGTGTGGTTCTGGGATTTTTGCTCACCGTTCTTGTGATCATTTTGACCCCACGGGGTGAGATCTTGCGGGAGATTATCAGTGGTCTTGTATGTCTTCCATTTCCTAATAATTGCTCCCACAGTTGATTTCTTCAAACCAAGCTGCTTACCTATTGCAGATTCAGTCTTCCCAGCCTGGTGCAGGTCTACAATTTTGTTTCTGGTGTCCTTTGACAGCTCTTTGGTCTTGGCCATAGTGGAGTTTGGAGTGTGACTGTTTGAGGTTGTGGACAGGTGTCTTTTATACTGATAACAAGTTCAAACAGGTGCCATTAATACAGGTAACGAGTGGAGGACAGAGGAGCCTCTTAAAGAAGAAGTTACAGGTCTGTGAGAGCCAGAAATCTTGCTTGTTTGTAGGTGACCAAATACTTATTTTCCACCATAATTTGCAAATAAATTCATTAAAAATCCTACAATGTGATTTTCTGGATTTTTTTTCTCAATTTGTCTGTCATCGTTGACGTGTACCTATGATGAATGAACATGGTGCTGACGTGGCAGAGCTCTACTGTACCTGCAGAACGATGAACACGGTGCTGACGTGGATGGCGAAGTAGAGGACGGCGATGACGACACAGACGATCAGGTCAGAGTGCAGACGCTCGTTCTGAGGGACAGACAGGAAGACGGTTAGGTTAGGAGACAGACAGACTAACTGTGTAGCTGTGTAGCCAACACCCCCAGGAAGCTACTCTTCCTGGGAGTGAGCTAATGGGAATCCTAATAAATAAAAAGACCCAAACAGATCTGGGACCAGCCAGGAGAGAACCAGGGGTGGTTGATATTGATGTCTACGCATAAGAACAGTAAGGTTTGGAATTCCACATCAACATTAACATCCTTGGCCTACAGCCCAGAGACATGACAGCGACCCAGCTCTGATTGGATTAGGAGAGAAGGGGTTGGAGCACCTAGATCTTCTGCACAGATTCTGTCAGACCTGGGCCCTGACAGCAAATAGCAGTATGACAAAAAAAATGGTGTTCCAAAAAAAGGTCCAGTTGCCAAGACTACAAATACAAATTCCAGCTAGACACATTGCCCTAGAGCAGTGGTTCACAACTGGTTTTGCCTGGGGACCCAAATTTAACATTTACATTTTAGTCATTTAGCAGACGCTCTTATCCAGAGCGACTTACAGTTAGTGAGTGCATACATTATAAATTGTGTTTTTGTTTGTTTTCATTGTTTTATTTTTCATACTAGCCCCCCGTGGGAATCGAACCCACAACCCTGGCGTTGCAAACGCCATGCTCTACCAACTGAGCTACATCCCTGCCGGCCATTCCCTCCCCTACCCTGGACGACGCAGGGCCAATTGTGCGCCGCCCCATGGATCTCCCGGTCGCGGCCGGCTACGACAGAGCCTGGATTCGAACCAGGATCTCTCGTGGCACAGCTAGCACTGCGATGCAGTGCCTTAGACCACTGCGCCACTCATTTAACAATGACAATTGAGTCGCGACCCAATATTATGGACTGTTGATGATTACATTTTGTAATGTTGTATTGCAGCTGCCTACTTGGGCAGGTTTCACTTGCAAAAATAGACTCCGTCTCAATGGGCTACTATTATGGTATTAAAGAAAGTCATTACACAGCCATATTCACTGAGAAAACATGTATTATCAAGTCAAGAGAATAAGCCATTTAATTAGGCAACCAGTTCAGGAGTGGGGTGTAATAAATGACCGGACTCAGAACATGACATCAAAACCAGTCCAATAATGTTAAATGAACAGTAACACATACCAGTGTTTAAAAAAATAAATAATACAAATCATTAGGAATTCTTAAATCATCAATTACCATGTGAATAGTTTCACAACTGTGAAATGTAAAAAAAAAAAAAAGGTGTATGTTTTTAAATCAGTTCAATAAAATGTAATATGAATGTCAGAATTAATTAACAATAATAATTAACATTGTGAACAATAACTCATTAACCTGTTTATTTATTGTGTGTGTGGGTGTGGCCTATCAGCGGGAAGCTGGGGGTGTTTCTTCAGTTCGATACGTTTATTGAAGTCTGGGGTGATGGTTGACGTGGCAACTCGGAGGTCATGCTGGCTGTCCAGTTTGTTGACGGCCACAGCAGAGAAGCCACTTCACACAGATGGGTAGTGCTGAACGGTAGCATGATTCTGATCGACAGGCGAGAGCAGGATACTTCTCCCACTACGCTGCACCAGAACTGTCATTTCCGCGAAGCGCGTGTTCAGTCCGAGCTCAAACAACAGCTTCACCAGCTGATCCTCTTCGTTGCTTGGCAACGTGACGCTTCCCATCTCCATTCGAAAGGGGTCCCCCGTATCCGTCGTCGTCTCCTCTTCTCCTCCGGGAAGAAGTCGCAAAACTTTCCCTGCAGCTTGACAAGATGCTGTTTAACTGGGGTTTTTCAGTGTGTCGCCGTGCGCTTTGTTGATCAGATTCTGAATCTCGAAATCAGCATTGGGAAACATGTCAATCCTCCCGTTAGAAACATGATTTGCCCAAACGGTAAACTTCATCTTGAAGGCATCCTCTTTGTCCCTCCGTTAAAATCGATTGTGCCCCCCTCCCTCGCGTGGACACATTGAGCGAATTCAGATGATCAGAAATATCTGCCAGGTAGGCAACCTGAGCGAGACATTCCTCACAAATGGAAATGTTTGGCCAGAGGTGACTTGTTTTCCGAAAGAAACGCAGCAATCTCCGCTCGAAGCTCATAAAATCGACTCAACACTTTACCACTGGAAAGCCAGCGGACCTCTGCATGATAAAGCACCTGATGGTGCTCGCTCCCCATATCCCTGCAGAAGGCCTGGAAACACCTGCTTTTTGTGGAACTCTTTAGATATTTTATTTTATTTATTTCACCTTTATTTAACCAGGTAAGCCAGTTGAGAACAAGTTCTCATTTACAACTGCGACCTGGCCAAGATAAAGCAAAGCAGTGCGATTAAAACAACAACAACAACACATAGTTACATATGGGGTAAAACAAAACATAAAGTCAATAACACAATAGAAAATCTATATACAGTGTGTGCAAATGTAGTAAGTTATGGAGGTAAGGCAATAAATAGGCCATAGTGCAAAATCATTACAATTATAATTTAGTATTAACACTGGAGTGATAGATGTGCAGAAGATGATGTGCAAATAGAGATACTGGGGTACAAATGAGCAAAATAAATAACAATGTAAATAACAATATGGGGATGAGGTAGTTGGGTGGGCTAATTTCAGAATGGCTGTGTACAGGTGCAGTGATCGGTAAGCTGCTCTGACAACTGATATTTAAAGATAGTGAGGGAGATAAGTGTCTCCAGCTTCAGAGTTTTTGCAGTTCGTTCCAGTCATTTGCAGCAGATAACTGGAAGGAATGGCGGCCAAAGGAGGTGTATCTCACTGGTCAAGACAGGGACTTGCCTAGCAGTGATTTATAGATGGCCTGGAGCCAGTGGGTTTGGCGACGAATATGTAGTGAGGGCCAGCCAACAAGAGCGTACAGGTCACAACGGTGGGTAGTATATGGGGCTTTGGTGACAAAACGGATGGCACTGTGATAGACTACATCCAATTTGCTGAGTAGAGTGTTGGAGGCTATTTTGTAAATGACATCGCCGAAGTCAAGGATCGGTAGGATAGTCCATTTTACGAGGGCATGTTTGGCAGCATGAGTGAAGGAGGCTTTGTTTGCGAAACAGGAAGCCGATTCTAGATTTAACTTTGGATTGGAGATGCTTAATGTTAGTCTGGTCGACACACATATAGTTGACACACTTGATCACATTCTGGAGAGCGGCGTGGAAACTCAGGCACCATGTCCTCCATGTCCTCGCTGTCCTCCGCTGTCCTCCGCTGTCCTCCGCTGTCCTCCGCTGTACTCCGCTGTCCTCCGCTGTCCTCCGCTGCCAATGCCTCCCTGTGTAGGAAGCAGTAGTTCCACGTTTCACTCGGTGCTCTCTCCAGGATCCGCTTTACTACTCCGGGGTGCTTTCCCGTCATGGCAGCTGCCCCCATCAGTGGTCACACCGACGCACTCATCCCAGGCCAGTCCCACGGAGCCCAGGTACATATCCATCGTGTTAAAGACAGCCTCGGCGGCGCCTCCACCACCACCGCCACCACCGCCGCCACCACCACCACCACCTCTACCAAAAACGTGTCCATGATTTTACTCTGACAGCCTATTTGAGTTAAACGACAGCTAACTATCCACATGTGCAATGCCTGCAGAACACATCTGCATAGTTAGCTGTCAACCAAGCTTGCTGTCGGAAGAAGATCTGTGTTATCTGATTGGACGTGCCACATTTAAAACAAAACAATGTTGCAGAATGACATTTCTATTGTATCAGTGTGTGTGTGTGTGTGTCGAGAAATATGTAATTTCATTGGATCAGTGTGTGTATGTGTGTGTGTGTGTGTGAGACGAGAACGTTATTGTATTGGTCAGTGAGTGTGTGCAGCGCGAAAACCCTCCGAGACCGAACGTAGCAAGCCACCCTCCGAGACCGAACGTAGCAAGCTACCCTCCGAGACCGAACGTAGCTAGCCACCCTCCGAGACCGAACGTAGCAAGCCACCCTCCGAGACCGAACGTAGCAAGCCACCCTCCGAGACCGAACGTAGCAAGCCATTTCACCACTGTGAGACCGAACGTAGCGAGCCATTTCACCACTGTGAGACCGAACGTAGCAAGCCATTTCACCACTGTGGACGCGCTGCACGTGTAAAGTCCCACGACCCCTTAAAATCACACAACCCTTCAGTTGAGAATCACTGCCCAAGAGCACACAAAAAACTATACCTACCTCGGCCTAAACATGGTTATGTTTTACCCTTATTATTGTTGTTACTGATTGTCCCGTTGACAATACTGATTATTATTATTTTATGTTACTATTGGAAATGTATCACTTAATCTCCAAAGTCATGCCAATAAAGCAAATTGAATTGAATTGAGAGCGAGGAGGATGAATTTACACAGACTCAATAATGAGGCCTGAGTGGAGCCAGTTGGACCAGACATCAACATTAGTAGAATCAAACATCAACATCAGCAGAACAAGACATCAACATTAGTAGAACCAGCAGGACCAGACCGTGACCCAGCTCTGACCAGACCTCAACATCAGCAGAACCAGACAGTGACCCAGCTCTGACCTCAACATCAACAGAACCAGCAGAACCAGACAGTGACCCAGCTCTGACCAGATCATTAGAATGGCTCTATTTCTATAGCTTTGACTGTATTATCTCTGAGTGTGTTACAAATCATCACAGGTAGAGGGTCCTGCTGCACCTCTGACAACTAACTAACCAGCCAACCAACTAACTAACCAGCCAACCAACTAATTACCTACCTCCCTAACCAACTCATGACCTACCTACCTACCTACCTACCTACCTACCTACCTACCTACTCACCACAGAGCCCCTGAGCTTCTCAGGTAGAGGGTCCTGCACCTCTGACAAATAACTAGCTAACCAACAAATGACCTATCTAACTAATTACCTAACTAATTATCTACCTACCTACAGTTGAAGTCAGAAGTTTACATACACCTTAGCCAAATACATTTAAACTCAGTTTTTCACAATTCCTGACATTTAATCCTAGTAAAAATTCCCTGTCTTAGGTCAGTTAGGATCGCCACTTTATTTTTTAAATGTGAAATGTCCGAATAATAGTAGAGAGAATGATTTATTTCAGCTTTTATTTCTTTCATCACATTCCCAGTGGGTCAGAAGTTTACATACACTCAATTAGTATTTGGTAACATTGCCTTTAAATTGTTTAACTTGGGTCAAACGTTTCGGGTAGCCTTCCACAAGCTTCCCACAATAAGTTGGGTGAATTTTGGCCCATTCCTCCTGACAGAGCTGGTGTAACTGAGTCAGGTTTGTCAGCCTCCTTGCTCGCACACGCTTTTTCAGTTCTGCCCACACATTTTCTATATGATTGAGGTCAGGGCTTTGTGATGGCCACTCCAATACCTTGACTTTGTTGTCCTTAAGCCATTTTGCCACAACTTTGGAAGTATGCTTGGGGCCATTGTCCATTTGGAAGACCCATTTGCAAACAAGCTTTAACTTCCTGACTGATGTCTTCAGTGCACCAGTCCCTCCTGCAGCAAAGCACCCCCACAGTATGATGCTGCCACCCCCGAGCTTCACGGTTGGGATGGTGTTCTTCGGCTTGCAAGTAACCCCCCTTTTCCGCCAAACATAATGATGGTCATTATGGCCAAACAGTTCTATTTTTGTTTCATCAGACCAGAGGACATTTCTCCAAAAAGTACGATCTTTGTCCCCATGTGCAGTTGCAAACCGTAGTCTGGCATATTTATGGCGGTTTTGGAGCAGTGGCTTCTTCCTTGCTGAGTGGCCTTTCAGGTTATGTCGATATAGGACTCGTTTTACTGTGGATATAGATACTTTTGTACCTGTTTCCTCCAGCATCTTCACAAGGTCCTTTGCTGTTGTTCTGGGATTGATTTGCACTTTTCTCACCAAAGTACGTTCATCTCTAGGAGACAGAACGCGTCTCCTTCCTGAGCGGTATGACGGCTACGTGGTCCCATGGTGTTTATACTTGCGTACTATTGTTTGTACAGATGAACGTGGTACCTTCAGACGTTTGGAAATTGCTCCCAAGGATGAACCAGACTTGTGGAGGTCTACAATTTGTGAGGTCTTGGCTGATTTCTTTTGATTTTCCCACGATGTCAAGCAAAGAGGCACTGAGTTTGAAGGTAGGCCTTGAAATACATCCACGGAGCCCCTGAGCTTCTCAGTAAGATGGTCCTGCACATCTGCCAACTAACTACCTACCTACCTAGTTAACTAACTAACTACCTACCTAGTTAACTAACTAACTACCTACCTACCTAGTTAACTAACTAACTAACTACCCATCTACTCACCACGGAGCCCCTGAGCTTCTCTGGTAAAGGGTCCTGCACCTCAGACAGGGGGTCTTCTGGGTTCTTGTTTTTCAGGTTGGGTAGAATCATGGACTTCACCAAGGAACTGGAAACAGAGAAGGCAACTAGTGAGTGGCCCATACTGATATATCCCATCATCAAAGAGCTAATACAAAGCAAACCAAACTAGTAAGAGTGACTATCATCAAGGAAAGCTGAGTAAAGAAAGATGGAGGCCAGAGAAAAGAGGGAGGTCCTGTAGGATATACTCACATGAGTACAGAGGGGTCGCTGCTCTGCCGGCTCAGATGGTAGGAGACCGCCACCAGGAGGCCACAGAACACCGAAAATAACACAGGGATATGCTGGGGTTCCCAGGCCTCCTAGAATCACAGCGATAAGAACCCATTAGAACCACAGAGAACAACACAGGAATGTATTGGCGTTCCCAGGTCTCCTAGAATCACAGCGATAAGAACCCATTAGAACCACAGAGAACAACACAGGAATGTATTGGCGTTCCCAGGTCTCCTTAAATCCACCAAATTTTCAGAACGCTTTTAAAAAACACGGAAGCCAAAACGTGGAAACTACGGATACAACTTCCTCCGAGCTCGTGCATTATGATAATTCATATTTGTGCCAATAGAAATCCCTGCATTAGCATGTTTTTCTGCTAGCCGATACATCCTGAAAAAGATACACCACATTACTGGCCTGCTAATGTGCCTGGACCGTGCAAGCTAAACTGCCAAGAAAAAGCCCATAACTGATCCAAATGGTTGCCCCTGTCAGCCGGGCTAGATGCAGTCGTTTCGAAATTAATATGCTTTCAAAACGCCAGGCTTTTGAGCGGTTATTCAAATCACTTAGGCTATTCACTGCAGTTTACAGCCTAGACTAAAAGTTTTGTACCCATTTGATAACAATAATAACATTCATCATTACATTGTGTGGTTGTAGCCTAGGTAGGATACATTTCTTGTCCCTAAATAAATAACTGAAACAATAGGGTAGCTTTTCGAGCTGCTAACCAGGGACAATATCACATTGAGCTTGTGAATTATGGGCTAATATGCATACTCTTCTCACTGAGGCTATAGTCTACATGTCGAGCCTGTCTGTCTTTGTTCTGTTGCGCAATTACTCCCCTGGCCTCTCCACTGCAACGGCTATTCCAATTAAATCTTGCTCGCTGGATGTAAAATAGGCTACAGCGTTAAGAACGGGCAGGGTAGTTGGAAAGGAGAAGCCCATATTTTCCAATAGGCCAGAGCACAGCCTGGAAGAACGCACAGATCTGCCATTTCATAATCTCTTCATAAACCCCCCCCCCTCCCCTCCCCCCCACACATTCTGAAATTGGCATTTTTGTCCCACCCAGTTTTATCATTGCACTGTAATACAAAAAGCGGCACTGGTGTGCTTTAGGACCATGCGGACTCCTCAGAGCGGTGTTTGGTGGTTTCAGCCAGATAGATTTAGGACCACGTGGACAACACAGAGCGTGATAATTTTTTATCCTAATAGTCTATCGGAGGAGAGAAGCAGGCTTCCTCTTGCTAATTGCTGAATGTAAAAAACAGGCCTACAGCATAGAAAATGCATGTCGGCGAAAGTTGAGGAGAGAGTGCGATGGTGTGATCTCTTTGGCCAGTGATGATAACATTGTTGCACAGGACACAAGAGATGAAGACAGTGAAAAATGGAAATAACTTGCAAACCACTTGAGCAACGAGGCAATAACATCCTGTAAAAGATGCGCAGGCTAAACAGCGTTTGTTGTTGAATTGCTACATTTAAAATACGAGTTACTGTATTATTCATTAGGCCTACACGTACATAGAAATATTATTTGCTGTTGTCACTATGACAATGAATCCTGAAAGCACTGAATGGTCTTGAGTTACTTCCTTATTAATAGGCAGTGTGCAGTAGGATGTGTTGATCAGTTGATTGACAGGTGAAGGACTGAAGAACGATTAACAAACTTTCCTCTAGTGTGGAGGCTCACCAACATTTTATAATTACGTAGCCTGTAGTTTATCGTTATAGTTATTGCTATTGGCTTGGTGGATGGCCCTTACCCCTGACACAATACAACTACATACAGCGCCTTCGGAAAGTATTCAGACGCCTCGACTTTTTCCACTTATTCTAAAATAGATTAAATAAAAATCCTCATAATGACAACGCGAAAACAGGTTTAGACATTTCTGCAAATGTATTAAAAATAAAAAACAGAAACCTTATTTACATAAGTATTCAGACCCTTTGCTATGAGACTCGAAATTGAGCTCTGATGCATCCTGTTTCCATTGATCATCCTTGGAGATGTTTCTACAACTTGATTGGAGTCCACCTGTGGTAAATTCAATTGATTGGACATGATTTGGAAAGGCACACACCTGTCTATATAAGGTCCCACAGTTGACAGTGCATGTCAGAGCAAAAACCAAGCCATGAGGTCGAAGGAATTGTCCGTAGAGCTCCGAGACAGTATTGTGTCGAGGTACAGATCTGGGGAAGGGTACCAAAGAATTTCTGCAGCATTGAAGGTCCCCAAGAACAAAGTGGCCTCCATCATTCTTAAATGGAAGAAGTTTGGAACCACCAAGACTCTTCCTAGAGCTGGCCGCCCGGCCAAACTGAGCAGTCGGGGTAGGAAGGGCTTTGATCAGGGAGGAGACCAAGAACCCGATGGTCACTCTGACAGAGCTCTAGAGTTTGTTTGTGGAGATGGGAGAACCTTCCAGAAGGACAACCATCTCTGCAGCACTCCACCAATCAGGGCTTTATGGTAGAGTGGCCAGACAGAAGCCACGCCTCAGTAAAAGGCACATGACAGCCCGCTTGGAGTTTGCCAAAGGCACCTAAAGACTCTCAAACCATGAGAAACAAGATTGAACTCTTTGGCCTGAATGCCAAGCGTCACATCTGGAGAAACCCTGGCACCATCCCTACGGTGAAGCATGGTGGTGGCAGCATCATGCTGTGGGGATGTTTTTCAGCGGCAGGGACTGGGAGACTAGTCAGGATCGAGGCAAAGATGAACGGAGCAAAGTACAGAGAGATCCTTGATGAAAACCTGCTCCAGAGCGCTCAGGACCTCAGACTGGGACGAAGGTTCACTTCCAACAGGACCCTGAGCACAAAGCCAAGACAACGCAGGAGTGGCTTCGGGACAAGTCTGATTGCCCTTGAGTGGCCCAGCCAGAGCCAGGACTTGAACATCTCTGGTGAGACCTGAAAATAGCTGTGCAGCAATGCTCCCCATCCGACCTGACAGAGCTTAAGAGGATCTGCAGAGAAGAATGGGAGAAACTCCCCAAATACAGGTGTGCCAAGATTGTAGCGTCATACCCAAGATGACTCGAGGCTGTAATCGCTGCCAAAGGTGCTTCAACAAAGTACTGAGGAAAGGGTCTGAATACTTACGTAAATGTGATGTTGTTAAAAATAAATAAAAAAATAGCAACAATTTCTAAAAACCTGTTTTTGCTTTGTTATTATGGGGTATTGTGTGTAAATTGAGGAGGGAAAAAAACAATTTAATCAATTTTAAAATAAGGCTGTAGTGTAAAAAAATATGGAAAAAGTCAATGAGTCTAAATACACATTTACACTCATACTTGTTTACTTTTATACTCTATAAATTGACTCCTTCAAATAATATACTCTGGCAAGTTTGCCACCGGAGCACTGCAGTAGGGAAGTAAAGAGGAAGTCCAATCCATCACAGTAGGGAAGTAAAGAGGAAGTCCAATCCATCACATTAGGGAAGTAAAGAGGAAGTCCAATACATCACAGTAAGGAAGTAAAGAGGAAGTCCAATCCATCACATTAGGGAAGTAAAGAGGAAGTCCAATCCATCACAGTAGGGAAGTAAAGAGGAAGTCCAATCCATCACAGTAGGGAAGTAAAGAGGAAGTCCAATCCATCACAGTAGGGAAGTAAAGAGGAAGTCCAATCCATCACAGTAGGGAAGTAAAGAGGAAGTCCAATCCATCACAGTAAGGAAGTAAAGAGGAAGTCCAATCCATCACATTAGGGAAGTAAAGAGGAAGTCCAATCCATCACATTAGGGAAGTAAAGAGGAAGTCCAATCCATCACAGTAAGGAAGTAGAGGAAGTCCAATCCATCACATTAGGGAAGTAAAGAGGAAGTCCAATCCACAGTAAGGAAGTAAAGAGGAAGTCCAATCCATCACATTAGGGAAGTAAAGAGGAAGTCCAATCCATCACAGTAAGGAAGTAAAGAGGAAGTCCAATCCATCACAGTAAGGAAGTAAAGAGGAAGTCCAATCCATCACAGTAGGGAAGTAAAGAGGAAGTCCAATCCATCACAGTAAGGAAGTAAAGAGGAAGTCCAATCCATCACAGTAAGGAAGTAAAGAGGAAGTCCAATCAATCACAGTAGGGAAGTAAAGAGGGAAGTAAAGGGAAGTAAAGAGGAAGTCGAATCCATCACTTCCATTGTTTGGCTGTGCCCATAGCAACGTTAGAAAATGAGGGTGGATACAGAGATTAGAACACATTCAAACACAGGCGTTAGAACAACAGAACACACACAGGCGTCAGCCATCACACGTCACCAGATCTTTTATTGGATCAGTTGATATTCATAATACTGGGAGAGAGGAGGAGGCTCGAGGTTAGTTCAGACTGACCTTCAGGGCCCCGTAGCAGACGCCATAGAGCAGGGCCACAGTGACCACGCTTCGCAGGACACTGTAAAGAGATGACAGAAGGCTGGTGGAGGCTGTGGACACACGAGGTCAGCATCACTTATACATACCAGATAGCGTTTGACATTTTGTGCAAATCAGCATTCTCTCAGTGTCACAATGTGTAGATGTCAAAGGTTAAAGGGAGGTCAAACTAAGAGACCCTTGCAGAGAGACCCTGTGAACTTTTATTGAGAGAGCTGTGGTAAGGTCAGACTTCAAATGTATTTATTACATTTTATTAGGGATGTGCATCCGTCCCTTTTCGATACATGGGGTCTGATACACATTTATCTTTTACAATAACAACCGGACGATTAGGGCCTGTCATATATTGAAAATAAACTTGACATCCGAAAGTGTCCCTCACCGTTCCCCCCGAACACGTGGATATCCAGCTGCTCAAAGAGGTACATTACGAAGGTGTTGACCTGGGGGAGGAGCCCCACGAAGAACACGATAGGAAAGCACAGAGTGAACACTGCAGAGAGAAGAGGTGGTTAGTAATAATACACTGGCCAAAAGTATGTGGACGCCTGCTTGTCGAACATCTCTTTCCAAAAATCATGGCCATTAATATGGAGTTGGTCCCCCCCCTTTGCTGCTATAACAGCATCCACTCTTCTGGGAAGGCTTTCCACTAGATGTTGGAACATTGCTGCGGGGAATTGCTTCCATTCAGCCACAAGAGCATTAGTGAGGTCGGACTCTGATGTTGGGCGATTAGGCCTGGCTCGCAGTCGGCGTTCCAATTAATCCCAAAGGGTGTTCGATGGAGTTGAGGTCAAGGCTCTGTGCAGGCCAGTCAAGTTCTTCCACACCGATCTCAGCAAACCATTTCTGTATGGACCTCGCTTTGAGCACGGAGGCATTGTCATGCTGAAACAGGAAAGGGCCTTCCTCACACTGTTGCCACAAAGTTGGAAGCACAGAATTGTCTAGAATGTAATTGTATGCTGTAGCGTTAAGATTTCCCTTCACTGGAACTAAGGGGCCTAGCCCGAACCATGAAAAACAGCCCCAGACCATTATTCCTCCTCCACCAAATTTTACAGTTGGCATTATGCATTCGGGCAGGTAGTGTTCTCCTGGCATCCGCCAAACCCAGATTCGTCCGTCGGACTGCCAGATGGTGCGATTCATCACTCCAAAGAACGCGTTTCCACTGCTCCAGAGTCCAATGGCGGCGAGCTTTACACCACTCCAGCCGACGCTTGGCATTGCGCATGATGATCTTAGGCTTGTGTGCGGCTGCTCGGCCATGGAAACCCATTTCATGAAGCTCCCGACGAACAGTTATAGTGCTGACGTTGCTTCCAGAGGCAGTTTGGAACTCGTGAGTGTTGCAACCGAGGACAGACGATTTTTTATGCACTACGTGCTTCAGCACTCAGCGGTCCCGTTCTGTGAGCTTGTGTGGCCTACCACTTCGCGGCTGATACGTTGTTGCTGCTAGACATTTCCACTTCACAATAACAGCCCTTACAGTTGACCGGGGCAGCTCTAGCAGGGCAGAAATTTCACAAACTGACTTGTTGGAAAGGTGGCATCCTATGACGGTGCCACGTTGAAAGTCACTGAGCTCTTCAGTAAGGCTATTCTACTGCCAATGTTTGTCTATGGAGATTGCATGGCTGTGTGCTCGATTTTATATACCTGTCAGCAACAGGTGTCGCTGAAATAGCCGAATCCACTAATTTGAAGGGGTGTCCACATACTTTTGTATATATCGAGTATATACGGTTATAATGACTGGGACAATGGGGTTTGGTCACGAGCACGTAGCTCACTTCAGTCAAATGTAAGCAGCACACTTTACAAAATGATAGTAACTGTTCTTATGATACTGTATGTATTAAATATGCTCACTTTATATGACCACATTCACAACACATCTTAATAAGTAGTCAAAATATTAAGCTAGATAATCAACACATCCAGTGCGTTCAGAAAGTATTCATACCCCTTGACTTTTTCCACATTTAGTTGTGTTACAGCCAGAATTTAAAATGGATTAAATTGAGATTTTTTCTCAAACATATACCCCATAATGTCAAAGTGGAATCTTTTTTACAAAGAAATGTCCTCTGGTCTGATGAAACAAAAATAGAACTGTTTGCCCATAATGACCATTGTTATGTTTGGAGGAAAAAGGGGAAGGCTTGCAAGCCGAAGAACACCATGCCAACCGTGAAGCACGGGGGTGGCAACATCATGCTGTGGGGGTGCTTTGCTGCAGGAGGGACTGGTGCACTTCACAAAATTGATGGCATTATGAGGAAGGAAAATGATGTGGATATATTGAAGCAACATCTCAAGACAATAAAGTGGGGATCCTAACTGACCTAAAACAGGGAATTTTTACTAGGATTAAATGTCAGCAATTGTGAAAAACTGAGTTTAAATGTATTTGGCTAAGGTGTATGTAAACTTCCGACTTCAACTGTATGTAAATTAGATATTTCTGTATTTCATTTTCAATACATTTGCTAACATTTCTAAAAACATGTTTTCACTTTGTCATTATGGGGTATTGTGTGTAGATGGGTGAGAAAAAATAATAATATTTAAATCAATTTTGAATTCAGGCTGGAACAACAAAATGTGGAATAAGTCAAAGGTGATGAATACTTTCTGGAGGCACAGTAAGGGATCATTTCCATCAAAATTGCTTTTCCCGAATCTGTCTCCAGGAAACCCCCTCCAAGTGTCCATGTTGTCCAATTAGCAGCAGTATAAAGACTCACCTATGACGAGGTCCCTGGCAGTGGAGAGAACCAGGGAGCTGGTGAGGGCGACACCGTACAGGGTGAACCGGGCCGAGCCGGTCCCATCACTACCATAGTCCAACACCCAGATCAACCCACAGCACAGGCAGAAGTAGACGGGCCGACTGTAGACTATGATACGGTTATGGCCCTGGAGAGAGAGGAGAGAGGAAAGAGGAGAGAGGAGAGAGGAGAGGGAGAGGAGAGAGGAGAGAGGAGAGAGGAGAGAGGAGAGAGGAGAGAGGAGAGAGGAGAGAGGAGAGAGGAGAGAGAGATTAGGTTGGGGTGTAGAGAAACAAAGACAGCCTACAGTCAACCGGACTTCCCCCACCCTATGCCTGCAGCAGGGTGGGGGGGGAGAGAGGAGGAGGGGAGAGAGCTGTAGTCTAAACTCTAGTCTGCTATTTAAAGCCCGATGCCTGCAGCAGGGTGGGGGGGGGGGGGGGGGGGGAGAGAGAGCTGTAGTCTAAACTCTAGTCTGCTATTTAAAGCCCTATGCCTGCAGCAGGGTGGGGTGGGGGGGGGGGGGGGGGGGGGGGGGGGGGGTTGGGGGGGCAAGGGAGAAAAGGGGGAGTAACAGACTGACTCCATTTTGAGGGCTCAGCTCGGGGCAGAGAACGTTCTAATTCCAGGGGAGGAGAGGAGGACAAAGAGAGGGCAGATTAGAGGAGAGATAAAGAGATGCTTACATGACGAGGAGAAGAAGAGTCTGGTTGAACACTCTGAGACAGAAACACAACAACAGGGTTAATACCACTACATTAGTATTGTCGCCATACCAACAATACCACTACATTAGTACTGTCGCCATACCAACAATACCACTACATTAGTATGTCGCCATACCAACAATACCACTACATTAGTACTGTCGCCATACCAACAATACCACTACATTAGTATTGTCGCCATACCAACAATACCACTATATTAGTATTGTCGCCATACCAACAATACCACTACATTAGTATTGTCGCCATACCAACAATACCACTACATTAGTATTGTCGCCATACCAACAATACCACTATATTAGTATTGTCGCCATACCAACAATACCACTACATTAGTATTGTCGCCATACCAACAATACCACTACATTAGTACTGTCGCCATACCAACAATACCACTACATTAGTACTGTCGCCATACCAACAATGCCACTACATTAGTATTGTCGCCATACCAACAATACCACTAAATTAGTATTGTCGCCATACCAACAATACCACTACATTAGTATTGTCGCCATACCAACAATACCACTACATAGTATTGTCGCCATACCAACAATTAACAACTTACATTAGTTATTGTCGCCATACCAACAATACCACTACATTAGTACTGTCGCCATACCAACAATACACTACATTAGTACTTGTCGCATACCAACAATACCACTAATAGTATTGTCGCCCATACCAACAATACCACTACAATTGTATTGTCGCCCTACCAACATACCACTACATTAGTATTGTCGCCCATGACCACAATAACACTACTTAGTATTGTCGCCATACAAACCAATCCACTACATTAGTATTGTCGCCATACCCAACAATACACTACATTAGTACTGTCGCCCATACCAACAATACCACTACATTAGTACTGTCGCCATACCCAACAAATACCCACTACATTAGTACTGTCGCCATACCAACAATGCCACTACATTAGTATTGTCGCCATACCAACAATACCACTAAATTAGTATTGTCGCCATACCAACAATACCACTACATTAGTATTGTCGCCATACCAACAATACCACTACATTAGTATTGTCACCTCTACTCAATACAACCGGTCACTGATATTCACACCTCTACTCAATACAACACATAGAATTGAACTTCACACTGTATATAGAATACTGCATAGAATGGCTGATTTGCTCTGATTTGCAAAGGCCTAGCTGTGATTAGGCTGGTGGAATGGGAGGAAGGAATATGTATGCATCATGATCTGTATGTCATTGTGTCAGTAAGGGGAAAACACTGCCTGAAACCCTCCTACTCTTCAAACAGACCCACAAAAGACTCGCCCTCACACATTTTAAAACGTTCAGACACCAAACAGAATGTAAGGAGCACCAGAAAGAGATAGATGTTTGATGTAGTCCCCATGTAGCTCAGTTGGTAGAGCATGGCGCTTCCAACGCCAGGGTTGTGGGTTCGTTTCCCACATGGGGCCAGTATGAAAATGTATGCACTCACTAACTGTAAGTGGCTCTGGATAAGAGCGTCTGCTAAATGACTAAAATGTACATGTTATATAGTTTAGTCTTCCATTAGGTCTGTATGAATCCTAGCTTTGAATCACATCTCATGAGTAGCAGACACTGTTCCTTTCTCCCTGGGCCAATCAGATGAGCCTAAACCTACTGTCAAGATAGCAGGTTGTTAGCTAGCTAGGTAACATGACTGAACAGCGACCTGGGATTAGTTAAAAACGGCCCGCGACATGGTTTGTGAAATTAGGTAGCTCCGATTACATGGGTCGTATATTTTTTTTTAACGGTTTGAGGTAGAGATGAGCTGTTTTCTTTGTCTGTAAAGCTGTGAGCATGCCTGTCGCACAGCTGTGCTCCATTGGTCCTCTCTGGCAGCGAACAAAGCCTACTCGGAATGCTTTATGAAATTATTCAATGTATCAACATTGCTCGCGTTGCGCGCCGCTCCAACTTATCAAATGTACAAATGTAACAACAGAAAACTCATCAGGGACTGCATCTCCCATCACCGTCACGGCTAAATTACATTATTTATTTTTTTAACTGGTGGAGGAATGGATGCACGTGAACAGCGGACGGAGAGAAGCAGGTGAGTGATGGCTGGAAGGGGATGGGGCTGCCGGCTGGCTGATTACAGATCCCACACGTAATATGAGCATGAAAGTGAAGTGGACATTATTGGACCAGCGCATACAAGAGACTAGTCTGTTGCTAAAAAAAAATTCTACTGAATTTATAAACAAAACAGACTTTATTAACAATTTAGGACAAGGACGCCAGCAGGATCGTAAGATTGGTAGGGCTGAAAAATATGGTAGTATCATATGAAACGGTACGAAGGTATTCTAAAATGTTGGTATGATAACATTTTGGTACCGGTATACAGTGCAATGCTACTACTTAAGTGAAATAGCGGCTATTGATATCATCATAAGTTATTGTTTTTTTTTAACCTATTTAAGTTGAGTGTACTGATTTGCAGTGGCTCTGGATAAGAGCGTCTGCTAAATGACTAAAATGTAAAATGTAGACCTTGAGTAGTGAGTACTGGCAGCTGGCGATGACGAGGCAGAACTGGAAGACCCAGATGTCAGTGAAGAATCCGCTGACCAGTAGGACTGACCCCAGGAAGGCTACCAGGACGGCTAGCACCACCGCTAGGATGTTTTCTAGAACCTCACGGTTTCTGGTAGAGGGACACACACACACACACACACACACACACACACACACCACACACACACACACACAATGTTAGCAAGGCTACCAGGACGGCTAGCACCACCGCTAGGATGTTTTCTAGAACCTCACGGTTTCTGGTAGAGTGACACACACACACACACACACACACAAACACACACACCACAACACAATGTAGCAAGGCTACCAGGACGGCTAGCACCACCGCTAGGAGGTTTTTCTCTAGGGAACCTCACGGTTTCTGCTGGTAGAGGACACACACACACACACACACACACACACACACACCCACAATGTTAGCAAGGCTACCAGGACAGCTAGCACCACCGCTAGGATGTTTTCTAGAACCTCAAGGTTTCCGTCGGACAGACGGAGTGAAAACAATGTCTCGCGAAACCATATACAATATTTCTCCAGTGTCAGTCCCAATTCACCCCCTAACCCTTTCCATTGACCCTTGGACATTTGCAGATCTGTAAGGTGGCGGCAATATGATGGATGCTCCACCACTACACTTATCCAGACCCTTCAGATCTGCAAACATCAAAGTGTTAGGACCAAGGTGAAGGGCAGGGAGTGATTGGAAAAATCACTAATAGTGACCGTTCTTGTGTAAAGCTGTTACCTGTCGAACAGAGCCAGCAGGGTGAGTCTGTCAAAGTGCAGGCCGACCCAGAGGTTAGGCAGCAGCCAGAAACGGTAGTGCTGTTTGGCCTTGCGCGCCGTGGCTGGGTCCTCCAGGTTTAGAGGAGCATCATGGAGCTCTGGGCTCAGGTCTACATCCTGCTGATCCAACAGCTCTGGTCTCATGGTCAGGAGACGGTTCAGACGGATCTGTAGAACACACAGTAAACAGTTAACACACTACACGCGCACACTACACACACAGTAAACAGTTAACACACTACACGCGCACACTACACACACACAGTAAACAGTTAACACACTACACGCGCACACTACACACACAGTAAACAGTTAACACACTACACGCGCACACTACACACACACAGTAAACAGTTAACACACTACACGCGCACACACACAGTAAACAGTTAACACACTACACGCGCACACACGCACACACACACACACACACACAGTAAACAGTTAACACACTACACGCGCGAGCACATACATACACAGTAAAAAGTTAACACACTACACACGCGCACGTACACACACATGCGATAACCACTCACCAGGTCATGATAACCACTCACCAGGTCATGATAACCACTCACCAGGTCATGATAACCACTCACCAGGTCATGATAACCACTCACCAGGTCATGATAACCACTCACCAGGTCATGATAACCACTCACCAGGTCATGAGGGTAGAAGCGAACTGAGGTAGAACTGGAGAGGTGGGAGTCTGTGTCCCTGTTGAGTTGAAACAAGGACAAGGTGACTTCATGGGACTTTACTGATGGGATTATTCTGACCCAGTACTATACTGATGGGATTATACTGACCCAGTACTATACTGATGGGACTATACTGACCCAGTACTATACTGATGGGACTATACTGACCCAGTACTATACTGATGGGATTATACTGACCCAGTACTATACTGATGGGATTATACAGACCCAGTACTATACTGATGAGACTATACTGTCCCAGTACTATACTGTCCCAGTACTATACTGATGGGATTATACTGACCCAGTACTATACTGATGGGACTATACTACGAGTACTATACTGATGGGACTATACTGCCCAGTATACTGACGTATACTGATGGGATTATACTGACCCAGTACTATACTGATGGGATTATACTGACCCAGTACTATACTGATGGGATTATACTGACCCAGTACTATACTTGATGGGATTATACTGACCCAGTACTATACTGATGGGACTATACTGACCCAGTACTATACTGATGGGATTATACTGACCCAGTACTATACTGATGGGATTATACTGACCCAGTACTATACTGATGGGATTATACTGACCCAGTACTATACTGATGGGATATACTGACCCAGTACTATACTGATGGACTTATGACCCAGTACTATACTGATGGGATTATACTGACCCAGTACTATACTGAGGGATTATACTGAGGGATTATACTGACCCAGTACTATACTGATGGATATACTGACCCAGTACTATACTGTCCCAGTACTATACTGATGGGATTATACTGACCCAGTACTATACTGATGGGATTATACTGATGGGATTATACTGACCCAGTACTATACTGATGGGATTATACTGACCCAGTACTATACTGTCCCAGTACTATACTGATGGGATTATACTGACCCAGTACTATACTGATGGGATTATACTGATGGGATTATACTGACCCAGTACTATACTGATGGGACTATACTGACCCAGTATATACTGATGGGATTATACTGACCCAGTACTATACTGATGGGATTATACTGACCCAGTACTATACTGATGGGACTATACTGATGGGATTATACTGACGGGATTATATTGATGGGATTATACTGACCCAGTACTATACTGATGGGATTATACTGACCCAGTACTATATTGATGGGATTATACAGACCCAGTACTATACTGATGGGATTATACAGACCCAGTACTATACTGATGGGATTATACAGACCCAGTACTATACTGATGGGACTATACTGACCCAGTACTATACTGATGGGATTATACTGACCCAGTACTATACTGTCCCAGTACTATACTGATGGGATTATACTGACCCAGTACTATACTGATGGGATTATACTGATGGGATTATACTGACCCAGTACTATACTGACCCAGTATATACTGATCCAGTACTATACTGATGGGATTATACTGACCCAGTACTATACTGATGGGATTATACTGATGGGATTATACTGACGGGATTATATTGATGGGATTATACTGACCCAGTACTATACTGATGGGATTATACTGACCCAGTACTATATTGATGGGATTATACTGACGGGACTATACTGATGGGATTATACTGACCCAGTACTATACTGATGGGATTATACTGACCCAGTACTATACTGATGGGATTATACTGACCCAGTACTATACTGACGGGACTATACTGACCCAGTCCTATATTGATGGGATTATACTGACCTGGGACTATACTGACCTGGGACTATACTGACCTGGGACTATACTGATGGTAGATCAATCAATCAATATATTTAATGAGCAACAGTGGCTCTCTTTTTTCCTTTTCTAATGAGATCATTCAATGGACAGTTCTGCGTCCCAAATAGCACCTTATTCCCTATGTAGTGCACTACTTTTAACCAGAATATGTGTACTCTATAGGGAATAGGGGGCCATTTCAGGCACACAGTCAGTTGTTGTGATTGTGAACTAACCATATGTTGTTGGCGGCGCGTCTTGTTGCAGGTTGAAAGTTGACCAGGGACATATCGCATCCCCCTGCCTCATACAGGGAGGGAGTGAGCTTCCCTGGAATCACAGACCAAACACAGTCTGTTACTCTGATTACATAAACACAGTCTGTTCCTCTGATTACATAAACAACACAGTCTGTTACTCTGATTACATAAACACAGTCTGTTACCCTGATTACATAAACAACACAGTCTGTTGCTCTGATTACATAAACAACACAGTCTGTTGCTCTGATTACATAAACAACACAGTCTGTTCCTCTGATTACATAAACAACACAGTCTGTTACCCTGATTACATAAACAACACAGTCTGTTGCTCTGATTACATAAACAACACAGTCTGTTCCTCTGATTACATAAACAACACAGTCTGTTCCTCTGATTACATAAACAACACAGTCTGTTACTCTGATTACATAAACAACACAGTCTGTTCCTCTGATTACATAAACAACAGTCTGTTACTCTGATTACATAAACAACACAGTCTGTTGCTCTGATTACATAAACAACACAGTCTGTTACCCTGATTACATAAACAACACAGTCTGTTCCTCTGATTACATAAACAACAGTCTGTTACTCTGATTACATAAACAACACAGTCTGTTGCTCTGATTACATAAACAACACAGTCTGTTACCCTGATTACATAAACAACACAGTCTGTTACTCTGATTACATAAACAACACAGTCTGTTACCCTGATTACATAAACAACAGTCTGTTCCTCTGATTACATAAACAACACAGTCTGTTCCTCTGATTACATAAACAACACAGTCTGTTGCTCTGATTACATAAACAACACAGTCTGTTGCTCTGATTACATAAACAACACAGTCTGTTGCTCTGATTACATAAACAACACAGTCTGTTGCTCTGATTACATAAACAACACAGTCTGTTCCTCTGATTACATAAACAACACAGTCTGTTCCTCTGATTACATAAACAACACAGTCTGTTACTCTGATTACATAAACAACACAGTCTGTTCCTCTGATTACATAAACAACACAGTCTGTTCCTCTGATTACATAAACAACACAGTCTGTTACTCTGATTACATAAACAACACAGTCTGTTGCTCTGATTACATAAACAACACAGTCTGTTACCCTGATTACATAAACAACACAGTCTGTTGCTCTGATTACATAAACAACACAGTCTGTTACCCTGATTACATAAACAACACAGTCTGTTCCTCTGATTACATAAACACACAGGAGTGGTAATGCATTTAATGCTGCAGATAAGATGAATGCCAATCTAATCAATAACAGTCTCTTTGAACTCATTTAATGTGAGCAAAGACAAACACCATGTCTGGAAATACTCTAAGCACGTTACAGTAACGCACTGTTGGAGAACATTGTTGGAGAACATTGTTGGAGAACACTGTTGGAGAACACTGCTGGAGAACACTGCTGGAGAACACTGCTGGAGAACACTGCTGGAGAACACTGCTGGAGAACACTGCTGGAGAACACTGTTGGAGAACACTGTTGGAGAACACTGCTGGAGAACACTGCTGGAGAACACTGCTGGAGAACACTGCTGGAGAACACTGTTGGAGAACACTGCTGGAGAACACTGTTGGAGAACACTGCTGGAGAACACTGCTGGAGAACACTGCTGGAGAACACTGCTGGAGAACACTGTTGATAATCGGAGTAAATAATCGATTTACTACTGTAGATAAGATAGATGTGGTAAAGTTAGTCCCGTGTGGCTCACTTGGTATAGCATGGCACTTGTTACGCCAGGGTTGTGGGTTCGATTCCCACGGGGGACCAGCATGAAAATGTATGCACGCACTACTGTAAGTGGCTCTGGATAAGAGAGTCTGCTAAATGACTCCCTACTGTAAGTTACTCTGGATAAGAGCGTCTGCTAAATGACTCACTACTGTAAGTCTCTCTGGATAAGAGCGTCTGCTAAATGACTCACTACTGTAAGTCTCTCTGGATAAGAACGTCTGCTAAATGACTCACTACTGAAAGTCTCTCTGGATAAGAGCGTCTGCTAAATGACTCACTACTGTAAGTCTCTCTGGATAAGAGCGTCTGCTAAATGACTCACTACTGTAAGTCTCTCTGGATAAGAACGTCTGCTAAATGACTCACTACTGAAAGTCTCTCTGGATAAGAGCGTCTGCTAAATGACTCACTAGTGAAAGTCTCTCTGGATAAGAGCGTCTGCTAAATGACTCACTACTGTAAGTCTCTCTGGATAAGAGCGTCTGCTAAATGACTCACTACTGTAAGTCTCTCTGGATAAGAGCGTCTGCTAAATGACTCACTACTGAAAGTCTCTCTGGATAAGAGCGTCTGCTAAATGACTCACTACTGAAAGTCTCTCTGGATAAGAGCGTCTGCTAAATGACTCACTAGTGAAAGTCTCTCTGGATAAGAGCGTCTGCTAAATGACTCACTACTGAAAGTCTCTCTGGATAAGAGCGTCTGCTAAGTGACTCACATGTAAATAATGTAAATCACCAGGAGTGTGTTGGACACCATTCAAGACAAACAACATGGCTACCTCCCTGGTCAAACAACATGGCTTCCTCCCTGGTCAAACAACATGGCTACCTCCCTGGTCAAACAACATGGCTACCTCCCTGGTCAAACAACATGGCTACCTCCCTGGTCAAACAACATGGCTTCCTCCCTGGTCAAACAACATGGCTTCCTCCCTGGTCAAACAACATGGCTTCCTCCCTGGTCAAACAACATGGCTACCTCCCTGGTCTAAAGTAGTGCACTATGTAGGGAAGAGGGTGACATTTGGGACGCAGCCTATGTGCCACAGTCTGTTTATGGTTGAAAAGTCATCTTTTCAACGTATCGTGCTCACTGGGAAGTTTGACACATGCTCTTGAAGGAACGTCTTCAGATCCAGTTCCAATCAAAAAGGTACAAAGATTAAATATTGACTACAGTATGTTGGGATTCACTCTTGCAATGCACATTTTATACGAACCTCACATCCTAGTCCATCTCCCTCCTTCCTTCAATCTATGCTAGTCCATCTCTCTCCTTCCTTCAATCTATGCTAGTCCATCTCTCTCCTTCCTTCAATCTATGCTAGTCCATCTCCCTCCTTCCTTCAATCTATGCTAGTCCATCTCTCTCCTTCCTTCAATCTATGCTAGTCCATCTCTCTCCTTCCTTCAATCTATGCTAGTCCATCTCCCTCCTTCCTTCAACCTATGCTAGTCCATCTCCCTCCTTCCTTCAATCTATGCTAGTCCATCTCCCTCCTTCCTTCAATCTATGCTAGTCCATCTCTCTCCTTCCTTCAATCTATGCTAGTCCATCACCCTCCTTCCTTCAATCTATGCTAGTCCATCTCCCTCCTTCCTTCAATCTATGCTAGTCCATCACCCTCCTTCCTTCAATCTATGCTAGTCCATCTCTCTCCTTCCTTCAATCTATGCTAGTCCATCTCTCTCCTTCCTTCAATCTATGCTAGTCCATCTCTCTCCTTCCTTCAATCTATGCTAGTCCATCTCTCTCCTTCCTTCAATCTATGCTAGTCCATCTCCCTCCTTCCTTCAACCTATGCTAGTCCATCTCTCTCCTTCCTTCAAATCTATGCTAGTCCAATCTATCCCTATCAATCCTTTCCTATAGGAGATGGGACACCATTGCTTCAGCAACATCTTTACTCAGATAAAACCGGACATGTTACTCAGAGCATTATGGGTACTGTCATGCACTTCTGCGCTCCCTCTGTTCTGCCCTACCAGAGTCATCCTGCAGGCTGCTAGTTCCCACGTTTAGGATAAGATTAAGTTTAATAGTATCTTAGACACACAGTACTGCTGTATACAAAAACACTGTACATTACACACTTACACTTGTTAAACCAAATAAAACATTGCAATTTAGCCACGTCATACACACTGTACACATCTTGTTAAGTCCTGAGAGCATTTTGGGATTCACTCTTGCCATGCACTGCATATTGTAAATTAACTACAAATCCTAATCTATAGCTCTCATTGCCCCCAATCTATCCCTGCCTGAAAACTGGATGTTACCCCTAGAGCATTATGGGTACTGTAGTTAGTACATCATGCAACTACAACTGCCTACTGAAGTCATCCTGTAGGCTGGTAGTGCATTATGGGTACTGTAGTAGCTCAAGCTACATCTCCCTACCGAAGTCATCCTGCAAGCTGGTAGTGCATTGTGGGTACTGTAGTACCTCATGCTACATCTCCCTACCGAAGTCATCCTGCAAGCTGGTAGTGCATTATGGGTACTGTAGTACATCATGCTACATCTCCCTACCGAAGTCATCCTGCAGGCTGGTAGTGCATTATGGGTACTGTAGTACCTCATGCTACATCTCCCTACCGAAGTCATCCTGTAGGCTGGTAGTGCATTATGGGTACCGTAGTACATAATGTTACATCTCCCTACCGAAGTCATCCTGCAGGCTGGTAGTGCATTATGGGTACTGTAGTACATCATGCTACATCTCCCTACCGAAGTCATCCTGTAGGCTGGTAGTGCATTATGGGTACCGTAGTACATAATGTTACATCTCCCTACCGAAGTCA